AAAACAGTTCAATAGCAGAAAAACAACATGCCATCACCTAAATTGACTTATAAGGTGTATAGACAGAGACCCTAAGCTACATCTATCTGTGACCTAAAATGCTTGGTCCAAGTTAAACAGCTTACGGGCAATTCTCATCTGTTTTGTTTGATCTCATCTGTTGACATTTATTTTAAATGTAATTAAACATAGGCTGTGAATTAATCAAAATTGATCACTATTTCCAAAACTGACTGAAAAAATACCAAATAAAACAAAAGTAAATGAATGCCATCCTCCTTGCGATGATGCCCTGGGCAACTGCCATAAAGTCACATCAAGAAATGCTGCTGATCATTCCAATGATCCCAAATAGACTCACATTAGGCCACATGAAAGCAACTGAACCCAAAAATATATTAACCAGTATATAACTGCACTCTCACACAACACGCCTGCAGCAACAGTTAGGACTCCTCCCTCCCTATTAAAAGCGTTTTTGCTTCTGAGGACATTGTGGTTGTAAAACCACATGCTAGTAGTCTGGCCCCGGTGTCATCAACCAGTTTCTGCGGGAATGTGACGGCGGAACCAGGGCCAGATTAACACTTTGTTGTACCCTGGGCAACAATATTCAAGGGCTCCATCATCACGACCCAAGGATCACCATAATGTGGTCACATACAGAATATTTTACTGTAATATGCAGTAAATATACTCAATACTTGAATGCCTGACAACACGTAACCCGCCCAGAGTAACCTTTGACCCACCTCGTGTGGACTGACCAATGAGGAGAGGGTCTTAACTTGAGGCCCTCTCTTCATTGGTCAGTCTGCATGAGACTGACTCTCAACTGACATTCAGTCATAGGCAGCGAAGCGTCTCTGTGCAGCGCAAAAGCCCGGGTGGACAGTTTGTTTAATATAGGGTGACCATATTTCCATTTCCAAACAAGAGGACAGGGGATCTGTGCCTATGACGTCACACTATGGCAACGCCACACAAACCATGTTGGGACCCATTTTTTGTAAGAACTAAATTAATATCAGATTCTGCCAATTAAAGGGCTCTAAAACAATTCATATGTAAATATTTTGCATATTTAATGCAAAATCTCATTTTTATGCTTTAGTGCTGCAACAAGGTTTTAGTAATAATAAATTATTATACCTTTTGTTTTACTACAGCATCGGTAAGCTTCCTGTGCACAGATTATTAAGGATGCTTGTTTCAGCTGTGAGATTAGACGATAGGATCAATGAAAAAATAAGTTGTCACACACTCCATGGAAACTTTCTGAGAATCCACAAATAGTGGCTTTCAAATGGTTTTGTTACTTTTTGCAACTTTAGAAAAGCTGCAGATGAGACAGCATGTCTGATAATTTAGTTTTTCATCTGATCATATTAGAACATGTCAGTAATGTCTGAGGGGCTTTTATAAACACTGTATAACTAACACTCCTGGAGAGGGCATGAATTACACAGAGGCTTCTGGGGAGCCCAGTTATTGGGGGGGGGGGGCATTTTGCCTTGGCCCCAAAATGTCTTGAAACGGCCCTGGGTGTGTGACTGAGTTTTGAAGGTGATCTGAATTGTATCAGATGTATAAATATGACATGTGTATAACTTATTGTTTTTTACTGGTAAAAACGTGTAGTGGAGATAAATCTACCTACATTTGACTTTTCAACACTTTGTTTTGTTTTCTTGTTTTTATTGAACTATTTTCCTGTCCTGTCTGTCTCTCATCTTCCTGCATCTCCTCATAATTCTCCAGAAAATCTGTTGCCTGGATTCTTACCTTTTCACCTCATCAGTTACTTTTGAGCAGATCAAAGATCTCCTGACCGAAAAGCGCAGAGCGCGTTTTCGATGCTGCGTGAGGTGACATCACCACAGCACAGGTGATGAGCTCCGCAGTAGCGAGCTTCAGGCACAAATAAGACAGAAAATAGAGAACATGTGCGGACATGAACGATCGTGTGCTAATTATAGTTTTTTGGTTGCGCCACTTTGAGAATGGACCGTGCGCTGGAAGCAGCTGCCTGGATCGCTGCGCGACAATGCGGAACCGGTTCGCAGCAGCGCAAGTCTGCCGGCTCTCCCTCGCGCTGATCTGCCGGTACCGGCTCTCCCTCGCGCTGATCTGCGGCTCTCCCTCGCACTGATCTGCCGGCTCTCCCTCGCGCTGATCTGCGGCTCTCCCTCGCGCTGATCTGCGGCTCTCCCTCGCGCTGATCTGCCGGCTCTACCTCGCGCTGATCTGACTTGCTCTGGTCTGCGCGCAATGGCGGGCGGGAAGGGGGGGGGGGCGCTTTTGGTAGAGTTGTGCGACACAACGAATCGATGACGCAATTCGTTGCCAACGCTTTTAGTAATCGATTTTCATCGAATTTATCGATTCGTTGTTGCAGCCCTAATTTGAATCATTTTCTAAATTATTTTTTCTATTTTACGTTTTGTTTTTGTGAAGCGCCCTGTGATTTTTATCTTGAGAGGCGCTATAGAAAAGATCTTTTCTCTCTCTTTATTCATGCACTTAAATATTAATGTTCTGATTTTATTGAAAATCTTGTTCTGTAATAGTTCCTTTACTATTGTGATCAAAAACATTTAATCTCAATTCTGAGGCTGCTCTGTAAATAGTTTTCAAATAAACAATACACATAGCAACGTCTGATCAGACTTAAAATAATGTATTGATGTAAACCACGCCCACTTCCGGTTAAACCACACCCACTTCCTGGTTACTCCACGCCCACTCCGAGTACAGATACAGATAATTTAGATGGTTGAACAGATACAGATAGTGGTGTACTCGCTCATCCCTAATAAACAGTATCGGTACAGTTCATGAAAAAGGTGGGCTTTATGTATTTGTGCTCAGCCCAAGTATCTGACATGACGGCCGGTTCGGGCAGCCTAAAATTACCGGCGATGAGATGGGGCCGGCACTGGCGGCCAATCACCAGCAATGCTCGCCTTGCCCGATGGCCAGTACAGCCCTGAGCCAGTCTGATAATCAATCCGTGAAGTCAGGGTCAGAACCGAGACGTCCTGGTCACCCTTCGTTCTGCGCTTGGGACTTGGGACAGCCAAAAGGTCTTGTTCTACTGGACAAAGTGACCGGGTTGGAACAGGTTTCTGCAGTAATGCAGTGGAGCACTGCCCTAATGAACTTAGAAAAATATAATGGTAAATGGCCTGTATTTGTTTAGTGCCTTCTTAGGGTTCTACAACCCCCCAAAGCGCTTCACAACACAATCAGTCATCCACCCATTCATATACACATTCACACGCTGGTGGTGATGAGCTGCCCTGGCGCACACTGACGAAAGCGAGACTGTTTAACACTGGCAACGCCGGTTTCTTCGACCACCATCAACAGGAAAGGTGGGTTCCATGTCTTGCCCAAGGACACAACAGCAGAAATTTCTGGCAGATGCCGGGATTAATTCTACAACCTTTTCGACTGCCTTTTGAGCTACTGCTGCTCCTGATATGTTAAAGTGATACAGTATTAACCCGGTAACGGACTGGAAGACGTTACAAAGATGGCAGGACAGGAGTGATGTGCTCTGACCATTTACTCTCAGTAAACATCTTAGATGTAGCATTCTGCTCCATCTGTAGCTTAGCAATCACAGTCCACAAAATATCTCATGAACCATTGGATACATTTGAACAAAACCTTCAGAAATCAGTCTTTAGGCATACATCTATAAATGGAATCAACCCTAATCAAAATGGCTGTTACAGCTGATTGACCTTACCAAATGCAGAAAGGGCCATGACTCAGTTTTACAGATGTTTAGCTTACATTTGGTGTAAAAATAGTTGAGATTCATTTACAACAAGCTCCAACTGATCACTACCACTCTTTTTTGAGCTTTTTGTTAACTTTATTTTCCATTGAGATAGGAATTTTAGGTTTTCATGAGCTGTATGCCAAAATCATCAATATTAGAAACAATAAAAGGCTTTAAATACTTCAGTAGTTAAATGTGTGTAATGAATCTAATATATATGACAGTCTAATGTTTATCAGTACATTACAGAAAATAATGAATTTTATCACAATATGCTAATTTTTTGAGAAGGACTTGTATTTCTCAGTCACTTAAAGGGCACTCATCCATGCTTCAGGGCATTTGTGGGCAAGGAGATTATAATTCAGCCATTATTTGTTTGTCTTTTGCAGAAGGGAATACAGGGAGAGTAAAAGTTGAAAGTCTGTTATAATAATTTTAGACTCTGTTGGTAGTTGTCGCAAATAAACATTGGCAGGTGAGCCACAACCAACTCAGTTCTGCTTCATGCTCTATTTATTCTATTGGCTTGGCTCTTAACATTACACATTTACCAACACAATGCAACTTTAATGCCTACTTAAATACAATATTTCAGTTTCATAATTATTTACTGTCACATTAAAAATGTAAGTTACAAAGTAACTGCGGAAATAATCCATCCGCTATTTATCCATCTGATAAATAGTATTCTGGAGGAGGTGATAAATCTATCATGGTACATGATGGTACATGGTTATTTGTACAGAAATACAAGCAATTAGATAGTTTCAATTGTGTCTAAGTCCTTATCACTTCAACGGAAGCTGATGAATTCTTTAACTAAGAAGCCCGTGATGCATATCCAGACATGTTTTCATGCATCATCATCAGATATACTTGTATGTCTACGGCTACGTTAATGTTTTAGTTAATTGTTTAGTACCCAAGAAATGTCATCCAGATGGTATTTTGTATTCCCACATATTGGTTCATTCTCGAGGCTTATTAAATTTCCTCCAGACTGATGTAAATCAGAACGTTCCATAGTAAAGGAAACATCTCTGAATTCAAATGTGAAGCCCCTTCCGGTGTTTGCCTGTCAGAAGCTGAACTTAATCCGCCTGCCTTTTTAATCTCAAGTGGCACTACAGCAAGTTAATAGAGTGCAGTCTTTTTGCTATTCATATGAATGAGAAGATGTTTGCTTTCTCGTGTTGGCTTGTAGGTTTGAGAAGATGATAAGTGGTATGTACATGGGGGAGCTGGTGCGTCTCATCCTGGTGAAGTTGGCCAGAGATCAGATGGTGTTTCAGGGCAAGACAACGCCGGAACTCCTCACCACCGGACGCTTCAGCACCAGCTACATCTACACCATTGAGACTGACAAGTCAGTATGTTTGTGTATGTTTGTTAAATCGACATAGTTTAGGTGAATATTATCATCACCTGCAGTTTCCCAACTGAACATTTCTCAGTTTCAAGACATACTGAAGGTTCTGTTCAAATTGATGCACTGCATCCTTCCAAGGCTAGTTAAGTCACAGCGAAGTGACAAAGCTGATAAATTCAAAGGACACTCAAAAGGTGTCTTCAAATACATCCATGTTTTCCCTGATTTTTAATGATGGGTCTAGTGTATCCTGATTGACAAAGGCTTTGCCAAGATTCATTGTAAGCAAAACTGGAGATTTTTGACCTTTTGATAATGGTGGACAAAGCTGGGAAGAAAGCAAGGAAGAGCCCAGTCCTACTTAGATGGGTCCTCACAAGATTGCTGTACCTAAATGTGGAGACAGCCGTAGTTTATAAGAATAATTTTTTTCTCTTAAGCCAAATTTAATTTGGACACTACTCCAGAATTGTAGTGATAGGGTAAACAAGTAAGATGTCTGGAGCTGACTGCAGTGATTTAAGTTAAACTTTCCAGTTTGGTACTTAAAAAAAAAATGAAACCTTCAGATAAGAGAAGAACGATTCCCAGGAGGCAGACCTATCATTACCCATCTCTGCTATAAACAGGGCACCTAATACGAGGAAATTCAGATCTCTATCCTGGAACAGCTTTCATTGTACAGCTGAAAGTTTTGGAACAGTTAATTTTTTAAACACATGGAGGCCGTATTATTGGATGAGTGGGTGAGGCCAGGTTGGCAAAGAGATGCTGATAAATTCAGATTCTGTCTGATCATCTGAATGATGGAGTACAAAATAACCCAAAGCATAATGGACGAGCAGCCGGGAATAAACTCTGCAATGGCCTCATCAGTCTCCAGACCTCACTCTGATTTAGCTTCGTTCTACTTTCTGAAGACTTGAAATAGGGCTGGGCAATAAATCGAAAATGTATTATTGAAATTTCTGTCTCTTATTGAGATAATTTTTCCCATGTCAATAAATGCGACAATAAAAAAATTAAAACGTGTGTAGGTTGGCAATGTTCATGTCCCTTTAAAGCAGCTAGATGGAATATTTCTCTTATCCGATGGCACCATCTAGTGGCTGACAAGCATATCACACAAAAAGTCTGTTAATCTTTTTTATAAAGATGGCAACCTCACGTTTATTGTTTATAAATGTGCTTCTGTAGCCAACAAACGGAGCAAAAACATGATGTTTTACAAGTATTATTCTCAAGTCATGTTGTGTTTTCATATATTTATATTTTAGAGACTTACTTGTTTGTGAAAAGTTCATCAACCCTGCCTCAGCCAAGGTATTCCTTAAATTTGAAACTTGTAAACGGTAGTCTAACGCTATTGGTTAGTTCTGATCGGTGCTCGGGGGTGTGCTTAGCAAAAAAAAAAAAAACATATGTGTGTATATATATATATATATATATATATATATATAGGTAGGTGCGCTGGAGTTTTTGACAATTAAAATTACGCCCACATTTTCTAAGTTAACACATCTCTTTTAACAACGGTAGTTTCTGCATCCTACTTCAGCCCTCTCCCCCCTCCCCCTGCGCAGCGGCCGCAAACTCACTGATGCACCTGCAGCCTCTCGGAGTTCCTGCTGCTCTAAACATTAAAATAATTATTTAATTTTCTGTTCCTCACTTCTGATTACCTTCAATGTGTTTGTTTGTTGCAACCAGCAGGTACAAAAACTAACTTGTTTTTATTTGACTATTTTTCTGTCCTGCCTGTTTATTATCTTCCTGCATCTCCTCTCAATCCTAAAGAAAAACTGCTACCTGGGTTCATTTATATTCACCTTATGAGTTACCTTTGAACTGCAGTTCTAAAAGATCTACCGACCACAAAAACAGCGGAGTGCCGCTGCTCGCCGGCCGACTACAAGGGGACCGTTTTTGTTGCGGAGTTTGTGCCGGAGCGGAGATAGTGGAATTTTGGGGGTGCGTTATCGGAGGACTAAACAGGTGATGCGCCTCGCTCCGCAGCAGCGAAACGCATCAGGCACAAATAACAGACAGAAAACATTAAAGGAAATGAGCCGACATGAACGATAGCGTTTTTAATTTTTTTTGAGGTGGTGACACCTGATTTGGCGGTGCTCAGGACGCAGATGTCTGGAGCGTGTCAACGATCAGAGCTTTGCATGCGCAAACTGGTTAAGATTAGGATGGGGGTGAGGGGAAGGTAAACTTGCAAGAGGGAAAAGGTCACAGTTTGGTTAAATGTCCGTTTTACTGCCGGTGCCAGTACAGATGCTCTGGCACAGCACGTCGCCTCCGCCTCCCGACGTGCAGGGGCTCATCACCTGTTGTCTTTTCCGAGGACTGCATCTTGTCAGTCATTATCACGTGACAGCGACTAGTCGATGACAGGCATAAAAAGTCACTACAGAGCCATGAAGTTGACTAGTCGACTAGTTCATACAACCCCTAAATAGATTTATTTTTACTTGTAAAAAATCCCATGAAGTCATTGCTGCTGAGGGCTAAGGGAATAGATGGCTCAGAGCTATGATTCTGTGTAAGTTTAGCAACTGTACTGAAAAGAAATTTAGGATTATGCTTATTCTCCTCAATTAGTGCTGAGAAATAAGCAGTTCTAGTTTGTCAAAGCTTTTTTTTATAACGCACAAGACTATTTTTCCAAGGTAGGTAGGCCTCCTCATGGTGCGTAGAGCGCCATGTTCCCTCCAATTTCTAAGGCATCAATTTGTGAGGGGCTAGAACTGAAAATATTGCCCTCTGCTACATGCCTCTGAGATGCTGAGGACAGTAAAGATGGAACAGTTGATTTAAAAGATGCAACTGCGTTGTCAGATAGAGACCGAATATAGTGAAATTTACTTTCATGTCTCAAGAACTCAGTTATAAAAAACTCAAAGGTTACCAGAAAGTGGTCCGAGAGGACTGGATTATGTGGAAAGTTCGTTATTTCCTCACACTCTATGCCATAAGCCAGCACAAGATCTAATGTATGATGGCAGGAGTGGGTGGAGCTATGTATTCTTTGAGTAAATCCAATTGAGTCTAAGATATTACTAAAGGCTACATTGAGGCTATCATTTTCAATGTCCACATGAATATTAAAATCCCCCACTACAATGACCTTATCAGTATTTAGCACCAAATCAGATAAAAAATCAGAGATCTGATCCAAAAACTCAGAGTAAGGGTCTGGTGGACGATATAAAACTACAAGCAAGAGTGGTTGTACAGTTTTGCAATCTGGATTAGGAAAACTAAGAATTAAGATGTTCGAACGAACTGTAGCTATTAATTGGTAAGGGACTGATTAATAAGTCCGAATGAAAAATGGTTGCTACTCCTCCTCCTCCTCGCCCTGTACTTCGAGCAATATGATGATTTAAATAATTTGAAGGAGTCCACTCGTTTAAGCTAACATAGTCCTCTTGCTGCAGCCAGGATTCTGTGAGAGAGAGCAAAGAGATCTGATTATCACAAATCAAGTCATCAACTAACAAAGTCTTAAAGAAAATGGATCTAATGTTCAACAACCCACATTTAATTTTTCTAGTTTTCTGCTCAGTTGAATTTGTTCTAATATTTATGAGATTTCCATGATTTGCTTTATTAAGCCTGATATTTAATTTGTGTGATTTTGGCCATGGGCAGGACACACGGGGGAAGGCAGGGTTTCATCAAACCCAAGTGTCTTACTTCAGGGGCGAATGAATGTGTCACGAAAATAACTTGTATTTCCTAAAAAATGACATCTTAAAAGTGCCAACGGTAATATTTTATCATTATATTGTGCCTATTGTTGAGCTGGAAGCTGTGAAATGGCACGATACAGGTCCTTTACTAAAGGAAATCCAGCTCTAATGATTCTGTTTAATTGTCAGAGATGAAGAAGGTCTGGCAAACGCTGATAAGGTGCTGCGTGACCTGGGTCTGAACCCATCGGCCGAGGACTGCAAAGCCACCAGGAGAGTGTGTCAGATCGTATCTACACGGGCTGCAAGACTGTGTGCTGCCGCTCTAGCTGCAGTGCTGAGGCAGATCCGGGATAACAAAGCAGCTGAACGGTTGCGCATCACAATTGGAGCGGATGGTTCGGTGTACAAGACTCATCCGGGGTAAGTGACACAGAGGACTGCCTCTAGTAACTGGGGAGAGTGGACTATCACGTGAATGTTGGGATATCAGTAAGTCTTTAAATAGGTGTATTTTTACTAAATATTCATTGCGTATCTGCCAGTCTGAGTGTTTGGGCAGAGATGGATGGAGGCTCAGGTTGGTTAAGCCTACTTTACATTAATGGAGCACATTCACACAGATAGGATTTGCTCTCCTCTGTCATCAGTGCTTGAATGACTGACTTCCAAGTTTTATTTCACAGCTGTTTTCCTTTCAACAACTTGCAAAAAAATAGAATTATATTTAAAAATTATAACCTATAATGATCATGTTGAAAAATATAATTTGAGTGATGGCAAACCATCAGTCCTGTCAGGGTTTCATCCCAGCTTCTGTCTGGTCTGTGTTTGATACTGGGAGGCCAGTCACATTCAGAAAGCCTGTCACTCTTCCTCTGTAATGGATTTAAAATGCAGACTTAGGGCGTATCAGGTGAACCCAAGTTAATGATTTGTTCTGATTCAATCTGATTATAATCCACCTTTATGCTGACGATTGTCAGCTGTACCTGCCTCTGAACACGTCAAGTGTTCTCTCTATTTCTATTCTTACAAACTGTTTGAGGGAGATCAAGACCTGGATGACTGGAAATTTTCTGTGCCTAAATGATCAGAAAACAGAGGCTATATTGTTTGCTCCAAGCATACACTGTGACTCTTCCCTAACTGACTGTGGGTCATTTAATGGCCAGCTGACTACATCGGTGACTAATCTTGGTGTTAAACTGGATAGCGCCCTTAGTTTTGATACCCACATCAATGGAGTGATCTCCTCCTCCTTTTTCCACCTTCGTCGGCTGGCAAAGATCAAACCGTTTTTGACACGTCATGATCTTGAGATGGTAGTCCATGCTTTTATTACGGTGCGATTGGACTACTGCAACTCTGTTCTATTCGGTGTGAGCAAGGGCTCAATAGCCAGGTTGCAAATGGTCCAGAATGCTGCTGCCAGATTTTTAGAGAGCAGGCACAAGTTTGACCACATTACTCCTGTCCTGGCTGCGCTTCACTGGCTGCCCGTTGATGTTAGGATTCATTTTAAAATACTTTTACTAGTTTTTAAAACGTTAAATGGTTTGGCCCCTCCTTACTTGGTGTCACTACTTCAACCATACACCCCTTCACGGTCACTCCGCTCGGAGAACTTCATGCTCCTCTCGGTCCCAAGAACACGTCTAAAGACGCGTGGTGATAGGGCCTTTGCTGTGGCAGGTCCTAAGCTTTGGAATAAGCTTCCTCTGAGCATAAGGGCCTCCACCTCTGTTGCAGTTTTTAAGGCAAGGCTAAAAACATATTTTTATGACCTGTCTTTTAACCTTTCTAACTAGTTTTATTGTTTTACTTATAGCGATTTTACTCATTGTATTTTTATCTGTATCATGTGATACAATGTTTTATTTTCTGGACTTAATGTTTTATGTTTTTATTTGATCAGTGTAGCGCCTTGGTGGCATCTTTTTGCCTGTAAGGCGCGATTTATAAATAAAGTAGAGTTGAGTTGAGCTTGTTCTGCCTCTTTCAGAAGGGTTCACTGAGCACAAGTGTCCCTCAGTGTGCACACTTGCACATGCATATTTATAGTCACATACGGGTCTGTTTATAGTCTTTAATTGTTCTTCCCCAGGTATCATTGTTTGTTTGCCTTTTAAATAGCTTACAAGACTTTTGTTTTGATTCATATTGACATGAGTGTTTTTCCTCTGGAAGCTTTCATGTTGTTTTTATCTTTACATTCGTTGACACCTCTGCTCCTGTAGTTGTTGAGGAAAAGCTTACAGTAAAAAAATCTGCATTATTGCAGTTCTTAAAGCAAATAAAACTGAAAAGTCGATTCAAAAAGAGTGAATACCTTCTCATCACAGTATCCTTTTAGATTTTTGCAGCATGTGTTTTTATGTTTTTCATTCATGTCATTTAGTATTTTGACTGAAAGAGAAAGATGAAGAGAAAAGGGGTGGCCAGGTAAAAATCAGAAAGTAAACAGCAGAGCCTTGGTTTCTCGCATCCATTCATGGTTCTCTACTGTACTGAAGAGACTCAAGGACACAGCGGGTGAAACAAATGGTTAAAGCTTTGATTCCAAACACTAAATAATGTACAATAATGGAAATAATGGACAATCAAGAGAGAAAAAATGGGTAATTTCCATCCGTCCACAGGGGGTGGGGTGGGGGGTGGGGGTGGGGGGGGGGGGGGGTTGTCATTGGGCAACCCGGCGGGGTACACCCTGGACAGAGAACCAGTCTATTGCAGGGCAACACAGACACACAGGACAAACAATTATGCATACACACACACACACACACACACACACACACACACACCTAAGAACAATTTAGACGGACCAATTAACCTAACAGTCATGTTTTTGGACCGTGGGAGGAAGCCGGAGTACCCGGAGAGAACCCACTCATGCACAGGGAGAACATGCTACCTGCATGCAGAAAGATTCCAGGCTGGGAAGCGAACCCAGGACCTTCTTGCTGCAAGGCAACAGCTCTAACCACTGTGTCTCCATGCAGCCCTCAATGGGTATTTTATACCTCCAAAATCAATGTTTTCTTCTTTTCATTGTCAAATAGTGCAGTATTTGTGCAGAATTATTGTTTCTGTTTACATTTTATTGTTGTTGGGGTTTCTGTGCAGCCTTAAAAAACAATAGAAATAGGTCCTTCCTCTGTTTTCTTCATGACCAAGAAAACAATAACAGAGAAACGATCAAACAAAACATTAACTAAATGCATTTGTCTGCCTACAGATTTTCTAGAAGACTCCAAAAAATGGTGCGGCGACTCGTCCCAGATTGCGATGTACGCTTTTTGCAGTCTCCGTGTGGCAGTGGGAAAGGTGCCGCTATGGTGACGGCCGTAGCTTACCGTCTTGCTGCGCAACAGGCTGAGCGACAGCGCATCCTGGACACGCTGCGTTTAAGTCGTGAACAGTTACTCGAGGTCAAGAGGAGAATGACAGATGGGATTGTACTTGGCTTGTCAAAGCAAACCCACGAGCAAACAAGTGTTAAGATGCTTCCCACTTATGTGCGATCCACTCCTGATGGAACAGGTAGCTTAATCAATAATGCATATTGCCCACTGCCTTTTATGGTATATGTTGTGAGATGAGTCTGGAAAGCATCATCACCTACCTTTGACGTTTTTGCGGCGGTTGATATCAAAAGCTTCTTAAACCAAAGTTGATATTTTTGTCCTGGTCAGAGAATGGTGATTTCTTGGCTTTGGACCTTGGGGGCTCCAGCTTTCGGGTTCTCCTGGTGCGATTGCGAAGTGGAAAGAGGCACAAAGTGGATATGCACCAGAAAATCTACACCATCCCTCAGGAGACCATGCAAGGCACAGGGGAGGAGGTAATAAAATGGTTGTGCCTCAGATGTCAACAACCAAGACAACTCAACTGCACCAATCAGCTGTTTGATGTTTTATTGTTTTATAATGAACTGTGTTTCTCCTAGAAGCAGCTTTAGTAAAACCCTGAGAGGAAAACACCACATGAGCTAATACTTATGTGTTTATGTTTTTATTGTCAAAGCTTTTCGATCACATTGTCCAGTGCATCGCTGACTTCCTGGAGTACATGGGCATGAGAGGAGCATCGTTACCTCTGGGATTTACATTTTCTTTCCCCTGTAATCAAAGCAAACTGGATGAGGTAACACTTCTTTTTACATTTATTTTATAGAGTGGGACAAAAAACGAATTTAGCATCCACCAATTGTACAACTTGTCCCACTTATAAAGATAAGAGAGGTCTGTAATTCTCATCAAAGGTACATTCGTACACTTCAAATGTATTTGTATAAAGGTGCAGAGAATAAGTACAAACAAGTGAGAATTATGGCCCTCACAGAGCTTTCTTCTTTAAGAAAGTCTTCTATCTTCCATGCATTACAAGTATAATTAGCACTGATTTGAACTTATCTGTATAAAAGTCACCTGTCCACACCTTAAATCAAAGAGCTGTCTAAGGACACCAGGGGCAAGATTGTGTACTTACACAAGACTGGGAGAGCCCATCTACAACAGTCATGCAGCTTAGTGAGAAGAGATCAACTGTTGGAGAAAATGGAATAAATACAACATCACTGACAGCCACCCTCATCTTGGGGCTCCATGCAAGATCTCAGCTTGTGGGGTACATGGAAACAGGCCATAACTAAACAGTCAATGACCTGAGGAGAGCTGGTCCTACAGTAACAAAGGTGACTATTGGTAACTAGGGTTGTCACGGTATGACAATTTAACCTCACGGTTATTGTGACCAAAATTATCACGGTTTTCGGTATTATCGCGGTATTTTTTTAACGGTGTTGCATATGTTCAGAAAGCATTGATAGTCCTGTTCTACACAAACTGAAATAGTTCTGAAAAGGTTTAACAGTGTTTATTAAACCTAAAATAACACAAAGCCTTAGCAAAAGTGCAACTTTTCACAAGTAAAGGAACAAATAGCTTATTTTTCTGGAACTTGTTACAGTAGTCAGTGCAGGTTTAAATTATACAAATCCAAACATTCAAAACAAACAATATGTAAACAAATCAAAGAAACACCACTTGTTTTCTCATATACTTGTTTTCTTCATTATCAAAATGAAAATCTAAAACTCCAGTCCACACTTGACTTGACCACTGTACAAGTCAACCTTAAAAAATATGTATTTAAAATAAATATCCACTTTAAACAAATTACTAAAATAACTACTACACTATGTAATCAAATCCAAATGTTCAAGTATAAATGGCATTGAATAAGTAAACAAATCCATGACAAGGAACTAATTGTATATTTCTCTTCATCATGAACAAATAAGATGCTTCATCCAGCAACAGGGTGTCCGTGACACGGTTTAAATGCTGGCAGAGGACGCTGCGGCTGCAGTATATAGTGACTCGTTGCATTCTCCCTCAACCAAAAGTCCTCACGTCATGCATTTCAGCTAAAATGCTAATGTTATCTTACCTTGCACTGGCTGTGGAGACGTGGGTGATCGTCACGCAGATGTGCCATGAGATTTGAAGTGTTGCTGCCTTTTGCAGACACTTGTTTCCTGCACGTTCTGCAAACGGGATAGCAGTCTTCTATTAACTGTCCCTCAGCGTTTTTCAGAAATCCCAAATATGCCCATACTTCCGATTTAGTCTTCTTTGAGGGCTGATGGATGTCCTGGGCGCTGCCGTCGCCTCCTTCGGCCATTATTTCAGCTTCAAAGTTTTGGTGCCGTTGCAAATTAAAAAGTGCGTGTGCGCGCAGCGGGAACTTCAGCTGAAGCGACGGTGGCTGGTAAGGGTCATCGCGCCGAAACCGCGGCCACGGTAAACCCACCGAGATAATATAGTTTTTTAAAAACTGGACGGTTATTTTTATTGTCAACTTTTTTACCGGGGTTTACCGCTATACCGGTTACCGTGACAACCCTATTGGTAACACACTACAGAGTCATGGATTAAAATCTTGCAAAAGGTACCCCTACTTAACTCTTTCATGCATAACGGTCACTACAGTGGACAGCTACTCAAAATTGGTATGTCTTTTTTTGCTATTAAGCACAGCTGTTGAAGACTTTCTTGCATTTGAGACACCTCTCAAACCAAGACTGGATAAAGGGAGGTCGCCCCCCCCCCCTTAGTCTGTTTGCTCGCACGGCCAAAAGCTCCATGGTCTCCGTGTCCGTTGTGTTTATATCCCTTCCGGCCGGCACTCGGCACGCAGTATACATCACTAATGCGACCACCCTCTTTTGTGGGGGGGCTCCCACAGTCGCTCCAAAGGGATTAGCGGGGCTGACACGCGTTTAGCCGTCAGAGGCGAGGGGCTCATACTGCCTGCAGCCGCAGCACCACCGCCTGGTGTTCCAGGTTGGTTCCGCAAGAGATGGCGCTTCCGGTCGGTAACAAGATGGTGCCTGTGCTTGGCTTAGCCACAGTCACCGGCCACTTTTTCAAACTTTTCTCCACTAACCTTCTCTTTTCCACCTTGCTCCTGTCTGCAATCCTCTTCGGTAGTGTCCCTGCTACCATCTCCTATGATCCCAGACTCTTTTGTCCTTCCGTTCGTTCACGATTGCCCAAGATGCACCGAGGACGTACCTCCCTGTTTTTAGTTGTTAGTTCTCGTTTTCTTAATGAGAGCACAGCTAGCAATTTTTCTCCTGTTTTTGATCCACCCTGTTCTTCTGATAACGACCCAGATTCCTTAACTTCTCAGTTTAACGAGCACTGCCTCTCCATTCTGGACAATGTCTGTCCTGTCAGAACCAGATCAGTTCCTGCAGTGAACCCTACTCCCTGGTTTAATGAAAGCCTTCACAGCCTAAAGCACCAATGCAGAAAAATAGTCTTCCAGCTGTCATTGATCCTAAACACACCGCCCGGGCAATGGAGTGGCTACATAAAAAAAAGCATGTGAAGGTTCTGAAATGACTTACCTGTGTGTTGTGTTTGCACCTGAGATGATCCGTTCTGACCAGTACCCACACTAACTTGTATAAAGTAGCTGCTTCTCTAATTATTGCCTCCCTATATTATCATCATTTCATTGTTTATTTCTTAATTCTAATTTTTGCTTATCATTTATTTTTTCATGCACCAAGTGCAGCATCAATTTCCTTTCTCACACATATGGCAATAAAACTAAGCTGGACAATGTCCTCGCGGCGTTGCCTGTGTTAGTGCGCAAGATGGATTTGATCTTGGAGAGGGTCGCCGGACGATGCGGGGATGTGGAATGTAAAATTGGCTTCACTGGTGGACATAAATGACCACTTAGAGACTCCAAGGCGGAGAGGAAGATTATCTCTGCCTGCCCTAAACAAAGTCATGTTTATCCTTATCTGACGCCATAGCAGCCTCTCAAGGCTGCCTCAACACACCCCCACGAAAGGAGGAATGCCGACAGATGCTGTGTCCCGGCCTTCACCCTCTTCCTTCAGGCTGACATGTCTGCAGGAACTTCAATGTGCTCTCTGTTCCTTATCTCTCCCTCCCACCTGTTGGTCTGCAGCTGGTTGATGCGCCGCAGTGGCAGCTCCCATTGGAGGCTTCAGGATCCCGCCCATCCCCGCCTCCCCATCGGACTCTGATGTTGTATCTGTGCTGTCTGTGCTTCCATGTGAAAGGAGTTTTTTTTGTATAATAGAGTTACTCCCCGCTGGGGCTAACTCTGCTATGCCTTTTTTTTTACCTACCCCCACTTATCCTCATGTAACACCCTTTTCATCTATCTATTAAGGTAGCGCGACTCATGTTGCGAATGACCGCAGTCACCAATTCTTGTTATGTGTCTTACCCACGTATGTCTGATCTTTGAATTGTGTGTGCTGAAACTCAATTTCATTTCTCTGTATGTCCTGCACATGTGGTAGAAATGACAATAAATGACTTTGACTTGACTTTGACTTGAAAACCGTTCTGATGCTGAAGAATGGGCCATGGTACCAGCTGCAGCTAGGGCAAACCTGGTGAAGACCTCCAGGAAACATTTGACCTCTGTCATTGCCAACCAAGGTTACATTACAAATTACTGAGATTAACTTTTGTTATTGACCAAATACTTATTTTTGCACCATTATACAAATTCTTGAGAAATTATACAATGTGATTTCCTGGACTTGTTTTACATCTCGTCCCTCACAGTTGAAGTGTACCTATGATGAAAATTACAGACTTCTCTCAGCTTTATTAAGTGGGGCTGCCAAATACCTTTTTTGCCCTTTTGAAGGTATTTGTAACTGGCTTTATTCTTCAGGTGATACCCAAAACATTAGAATATGGTGCTAAAGACTGTCATTTCAGTAATTCAAATTAGATTGAGAGACCATCTAAAGGCTCAGGTACCCTTTGCAGGTGTTGTGGATTCATTAGCTGATTAGAGTGTGACACTTTGAGTCTAGAACCTGGTAGTGAACATTTTCACAATATGATCACAGCTACAACAAATAAAGGCTGAAATATCTGGCTTTGCATGGAATTAGTCTGCCTCATGAATTAGTGTCCCCTTTTACGTTTAATTACTGAAATTGATTAATATTAGGTATCAATGAGTCACATTGAAGATTTCCTCTAAGGTTAATATAGCCATGTTTTCATATCTGTAAAGAAAGACGTGACGTTTTTTCACATTTCAGAACATCAAGTGGAGATGTGATTGTGGCTGTATTATGAACCTGTCACACTGGTACAAACAAACTAAATTTTACCTCAATCTAACACACTTTCCACAACAACATGCTACCTCAGAAATAAGTGCTACCAATTCAACATTCATCACAGCTGGAAGGTTCAACAATCAGTGAACTATGGGGAGTTTCATTTAGCTAATGATGACAATTAGAAGTTTAGTGCAATGAATATAGCTGCACATCTCTACCTCTAAACATTATGTGTAAAATAAGACATAATTTACTCAGGCTTTCTATAACGAACCATAATTGTGTGTTTTGGATATGTGATTGTGTAAGTGGCCTTGCTTCTCTGTTAAAGACAATTCCTGCATGCAGCATGAAAAAGGTTTTGCAGAAGTCTATGAGAATTAAAGGAACACTTGGAAGTTTTGGCTTGCTTTTGGCACTACCAAGAGTTTATTAATTCACCGTCATAAAACTGAAACTCTCCTCCTTGCTGTGGGCTCATCTTTTTAACACCTTAATCTAGCTGAAATGTCTCCTCAGCCTTCCCTAGTTTCTACAGGAGCGATTTATCGCTAAATCAGACAAATCAGCTATAGTCATGATTGAAAACATCCAGGAATCATGTAATGGAAGCAGACTGTAGCGCTAGCATGCCGGCTAGCACTATTAACTATAGTTCCTGGTAAATATGACAAAGATCCCAAGAGGAGGAATCATGTGACCACAGGGAAAGGCTGTAGCATGTCAGAAAACCCAAACACGGATTCAGAGTGACACGCTGAGTGAACACAGACAGGCAAGTTATTCTACAAGCTATGAGCAGCAAGCCGATAGGACCGTGGCCGGAAGTGACTATCGGCTGGCTAGCAGAGCTGCTCAGCGGCAGCCAGGATCTGGCTAGTGCACTGAGGATTTTATAGTGTGTGAGAACAAGGACCTCAGGTAGAGACCATCAACATACAAAAATATGGACATAGCCCGCCCATTGCTCTGCCCGGGGGCAAGTTGAAGCCAGAATTGGGAGGTTCCCACCACAGATTATTATTATTTTTTCATTATTAAATTTTTTTTTTTTGACTGAGTCACACCCAGATAATCCAAAAATGGAAAAGAGTTGGGGCTGAGGGTGGGGCTGTTACGTTTGGAACAGGGTTAGAACAAATGAAACCATTCTAGCTACTAGCTAACTTAGCTAACCCAAGAGGCTAAGAAGGGCAACAGGGACCATGGGGTAGCCCACTCGCACGGCTGACTGGCTTCAGAATGAGGCAGTAGTCATGCTGGTCGCCTAGCCAGAGATGAGAACGGCGGACTAGCGGGTGATTTACCGCGGTAGACCAGCAAAGCCTGATCCTCAGATACCCAGCAGCCACACCAACACGTTGTATTTCAACCCTTCTTAGACCGAGCAATGTTATGGTAAACTAGCAAACTATTAGTGAGAAAAAATGCGGTTGAGCGACTCAAAAGTAAAGCAGCATCAAAAGCTGCGGTGTTTCTGTGGTCTCCCTCAGAAATCCACAGGTAGCCAGCATGACTAGCCTGGCATTGGCTGCCCCAGAAATCGGGAACAGCCAGCTGCCTGCTCTTGCAACTCGTCTCGGGCAGGAAACGGAAGACGGGCATCCGCTCAAGTTTCTTATCCAGCCAGCAGCCCCATTAACATGTCTGACCAAGCAGTTAAATGGCACAGCATTCCCCCATTCCACCAGCAAAATAAAGTACGGAAATATAATTTTACTTACTGATAAAAAGAAGTCGAAACTGCTTGGATGATCTGTTAGTGCAGTAATTAACCAAAGCTTGCCCTCTTTGTCCAAATAATTCCATGACTAACATCCAAACACGAACACACAGACAAAACTAAAGTACAGAGAGTTTAAATGGCCGAACATCTATTAACGTGAGGCTGGGGCCTTTCTTCGGAGCTCTGATGCTCATTAATTATTCAGAATTTTTACTCATTCGCTGCCAGCTGTTTCCTGATCGGTAAAGCCCTTCGCTGCCACCGTTTCTCACCATTTTTACCGGGGTTTTTTTAAGAGTCACAGAACGTTGTGCGCTAGGATGATGCCGACGCCAAAACAACCAAAACAAAGCGGAGACTCACCTCTTACATCAGGAAGAATCCGCTCGTTTCGAGCTTTATCAGTTCTTTCATAGTCCGTTGTTGAATTGTGATCAGCAGAAGCTCTTCCGGTTCACGCCTCACTTTTTTTTACACCAGCGGCCCAAAGCAATCTCCTAACACATGGATTTTCTGCTTCCTGATCACGTGACATGTGACGTATGCGGATGAAGATCGGCTTTAGAGCTGAGATGTTTGTTTTCATGGTGCGGGTGCTCGTTCCAATGCCCACACAGTAAAAACATGCAAATGACGACAAAAATAAACAATCAATGATGAACAAGAGTCTGCTTCTAGACCTGCAGAAAGAGAAAAAAACAAACCAATAAAAAAAAGGGGACACACAACAATACAACTAGAGCAAACTATCACTGCGCCAACCTGATGAGGAAATATAAAATCAACATTGTTTTACTGAACAATCCCACGATAATAAATCATAGTGCATTTAGTGCCAACCACAGACTTAAGACGTGTTGAAAATGCCCAAGTCCATACTTATGAGAGCACCATGTGAGCACCTGTGTGCGTACACACGCTTGTATATGTAAGGTTTCTCTATAGGACCATCCAATAGAGAGTGTGAGGAACCACAGATCTGCCCCCCAAAGATGTGTAGGAGACGGAGGGAGCTCCAAGTCCCAGAGATCCAGGAGCTGTCCCAGAGCGCAGGGATCCCAGTGAGACTGTAACCAGAAAAGCCCCAGCCCCCTCTTGAGAGGCCCAGAGGATTGCCCCGGGGGGCCACAACCAGCAGCCGGCAGAGTCCTGGGAGATATCAGCTGCAAACCCACAGGCCCGCCCGCAGCCTCCCACCCCCTAGCCGGCCGAGCCTGGAACCCAGAAACCCGGGATCCAGAAGAAGAAGAAGAAAATATCATTTCTGTAGCGCTTCTCAAGATAAAAATCACGAGGCGCTTCACAAAAACAAAACAAAAAATTAAAATATAAAAAAGCATTTAGAAAATGTTTAAAATATATATTTAAAATGATCAAAAATAGGCAATTGGGATTTAAAAGAAAAAATGTTGGCTGGCCGGTCTGAAGCTTACTCTAGAACTGCCGAATCACACAGAGTGATCCAGTTTTAAGGTTTTGATGTTATGATTTGCACAGCCAAACAAAGGCTGACAGGTTTGAGAGATGCTACCAAGACAACTCAGAAACACCCTTCTTTGATACCAGATGGTCTGACTGGGTGAAAGACTATTTATGTGTCAGAGTTTAACGTAACCTTACTTGTTATGGTGCGAGTGCAAATGTTATGACCTTTGCCATATAAACCTGCGGAACCACATTGCAGTCATTGTAGACATAACATTCATTTCAAACTTCAGTCATTGAGCACAGATTAATGAAGCATTTCATTATAATATAATTATTATAAGTAGCAATAAACAAACATTTATTTAATGATTATCTATATTATAAGTCATGGAAGAATTTCATATTGGTTTAGGAAATCATTCTTGAATTTAGCAACTGATCCGAGCTGTAGTGTTCCTTATGTGGAGGCCTTGGGGAAGAAAGTTATTGTTGACATGTCGTTATCTGTTGTCAGAGCTGCAAATGGCAACATTTTCAGCCAAGTTGTATTTATCGGACCAAAACAGATATGTCAAAAAGGACCAACATTGACCAATACTGATGCCAAAATATCATGCATCCTTACTTATTTGGTTCTGAACCCTTAATGTCTTTAATTTAAACTTTCTCACAGATCAGGCCACCTATGCACAAATCACCATCGGCAAAGACCATTTTTTATCGTTCCAGAGTGTTTTAAGTGTGTTTTGGAGTAAATGTTGCGCACTCAGTCTAAACACCTGATATATATATACTGAAGTAAATATGTTTTATATTCAGAGACATGTTTTCTTGCTCTCGTTTTCACAGGGCATTCTACTGAAGTGGACCAAAGGTTTCAAAGCCAGCGACTGTGAAGGGAAAGATGTTGTTATGTTGCTTAAAGAGGCGATTCAACGCAAACAGGTCAGTTGGTGGAATTTTAGGAATTTTTTTTTTATAAAAATGTGTTAATATAGAACAAAATGCAGTAGCATTTGGTTCAATTATTTCCGTAAATCCAAATATTTTTATAAGGTAAAATGGTAAGACTTAACACAATTCTAACAGAGCAAACAACTTGGTCTCAATTAGTGGGACAAGCCACTGCAGTCTGGGTTAGAGATGCAATTACTGTTTGATAGTTAGCCACTCATCTTGTTTATCTCTGTGGCTGGTGACAATTCTGTCAGTCCTTAAAGTCATCCTGCTCGTCTGGTGGACCAGGACCAGTGCTGAGGCAGTGAGGCCCTGTCCACACGTAGCCGGGGATCTGCCAAAACGTAGATATTTTTCTACGTTTTGGCCTGTCATCCACACGAAAAAGGAGTTTTTTTACACGAAAACGGATCTTTTTAAAAACTCCGGCCAAAGTGAAGATCTGTGTTTTCTCTGTTTTGGGTGTCTGCGTGTGGACAGACAAAACCAGAGTTTTAAGGACCGCAACGTCACTTTCCGCGCCAAAAAAATGCTGACATCACGTTTGCGACCTGTGTCTACACTAGCCGACAGCATGGATGCCCCCAGAGCTGCGCTCGCTTTATCAATTGTCCAAGCGCTTTTTGCTTGTTTGTTTTTGCAAGCGGAATTACTGCTCCTTGCGGAAGACCACAGACGAAGGACGAGGATAAGAACGGGGGAAGTACTGCCGCCTACAGGTCTGGCATGTCCTTAACAACGTATTTATCCGAGTACGTGTGGACAGAGTTTTTTTTTTTTTAAACGAGGTGGTGTGGATGCAAGTTTTTGGAGGGGCGGATATTCGTTTGGAAAAAAAAACGGTTACGTGTGGACTAGGCCTGAGTGACAGCATCCTAATCCTGGTCTTGTTTGTCTCATCTGTTGGCGATTACACTAATCAGCCATTCCAAGCAGTTTTACCCAAGGGGGAAAAAAAACTTCATTTTGATTGCTTCAAACCTGTTTATTCTTTGATTTATTCTCAGGTACAAAAACAATAATTCTTGTCATAAAAACTGCAGCAGGATTGGGAACATAAAAATATAGTCTGGCTTTTAAAATGTACCTCATTGCAGTTTAAATTATTGAGTCAAAGAAAGGTTTATTTTTGTTCATACCAGTCAAGGGCTGAATATGAAAGTGTCCTTGCCTTGTTTAAGAACTGATGCTGTGCGATGGGATCACAGCCTAATGCTGCTAAATAAAGCTGTGAACTTATTCAGGGAAACCAGAAGGCCTGAGCCACATTTGGAGGTAGTCTGTGACGCTTGTTGTGTGTCCTACCATGTTCCCTAAGGCTGGGGACTGATAGCCTGGCCTGCCAGACTCGTCCTCTGTTTAATTCTGCACAGAGAAAGAGTCTGGTTGCTCACAGGCAGAGAGGCACGAGTGACGGGACTAGCCAGCTCAAAAAGAACCAATCTCAAAAACAACAGAAGTGCCGACTGTACTGCGCGACACTGTATTTATTTTTTTTTAGCTGTAGTGAAAAATGGCATCTGGCAGCAGCGCAAACATCTTTTTCTTTTTTTTTTTAGAAGAAATGCTTTTAGCACTTCTACTTGTGGTTTTAAAGACATTCAAGTCATTTACAACAGAGGACAGAGCCGCAGCAAACTCTGCCGCTGTCTTTGTTGTTCATGAGAAACTGAACGTGGCTGTGTGTGACGTTCGGGACGCTGTAGTGTTTTAGCTGTAGTCAAAAATGGAGTCTGGCGACATCTTTCATTTCTCTTTGGAAGAAATACTTTTAGCGCTTCTACTTGTTGATTAAAAGACTTGTCCAAGTCATTTAGAACAGAGGAAAGAGCTGCAGCAAACTCCGCTTCAGTCGCCATGCTTATAACAAACTCGGCGTTATGGTGTGTGACGTACGCTACTCAGCGCTAATTGGCTCTGTTAGAATTCTCAGGGGGTGGGGTTATTTGAATAGGAGAGTTCCCAGACCCTTTCTCTGTGCAGAATGAAACAGAGGAGTCTGGCAGGCCAGGCTAGGGGACTGATGTCCTTATGTCCTCTGGCTGCCCCCCTTCTTTCCTGAGCTCGGGTTTTGTCCTCAGGGCTGGCTTATTGATGTCCATCTGTTGGTGGCTATCGGCTGCTGGGGTGTGCCTGGTCTTGAACTGTGGCACTGGTGGGGCCTGGGCTGCTGCAGACAGCCCCTATCACATACACAAAATTTACCAACAAAAACAAAATAACACTCTTGGTGACAAATCAACTTTCAGACACCCACAAACATTCACAGAAACACTGCTTAGACCGACACATATAGGGATCCCACACAAACACATACGTGTGAAAGTGCTACCATCGATGGTAGCACATGGAAAATATGAAATGACATTAAAAATAATGCTAGACAAAACTATCTGCAATACATCATTGAAAATGATATCGTACAAGACAACACTAAGGATCTGGCCCGTAGCTTCAATAAATTCTTTATAAACATCGGACCAAAACTGGCAGAGACCATTCCAGAACCACAAACCTCTGAAAATTGGACCAATAATCTGATAGAGAGGAACCCTAAGTCCATGTTCATCACAGCAGTAGAGGAACGAGAAGTCATCGATATCATTAATAAATGTAGACATAAAACATCCACAGACTTTCATTATTTTGATATGACTACTGTTAAAAGAGTGATTGAAGGAATATCTAAACCACTAACATCTGCAACGTATCATTCCAGACTGGTAAATTTCCTAACTTAATGAAAATAGCGAAAGTTGTACCACTGTATAAAACTGAGGATAAACATCACTTCACAAACTACAGATCTGTTTCCTTACTTCCTCAGTTTGCCAAGATACTAGAAAACTGTTCACTTACCACCTAGATAATTTTTTTAGAAAAACATTACCATAATTTCCGGACTATAGAGCGCATCTCAATATAAACCGCACAAACAAAAAAAAAGGTTTTCTACACACACACACACACGCCGCACTCAAATACAAGCCGCGGCACAGCAGCCAAATGCAGGTCTCCGGCGCACAGCGCTTGTATAGCCATAACATAAGATAATTAGAAAGACGCTACACAGAGGTTTTTCGTTGTTGTTTTAATTCAACAAAACGAATTTTAAACACGGTTGAACGTGCCTGCAAGTTTAGAAAAGAAAACAGTACTGATAGCATTCATATTTCTGGATGGTTATAAAATAAAAACAGAACTGACACGTTATTACTGGTAATCTGCATGCATGTTTAGAAGAAAAGAACAGCGCTGACACAGCATTAATAAGCCCTGGATGATTAGAAAATAAAAACTGCACACAAAGCATGCCTGGTTAGTAAATAAAACACACTTGCCTACCAGAAAAAGTCATTCGCTCTCATCTTCCTCTTGCTCACTAAAGCCATTAAAGTCCTCTTCTTCAGTGTCGGAGTTGAACAGCCTCAGAAGAGCTTCGTCACATACCTTTTCTGTGGCGATGTCAGTGTTGCTGTCTTCATCCCCGGGTGAAGCTGGCTTGAATGAGTTCTTCCCGCTGCCGTCTCCAGTGCCGAACCATGGATTCATTCATGCCAAGATTACGTGCGGCAGCACTGTTTCCCTCCTTTACTACCAGATCGATGGCCTTCAACTTAAATGCGGCAACATATGAACTCATACGTGTAGTTACCATGACAAGGGGGTATTGATTTGAAAATAATTCTTCATCGTGCCGGCTTCTTGCATGTGCTAAATTAAAATGAGCACTTTCTTCGATTTCCACTTTTGACTTCCACCTGTTTCACTGTCTGCTAAAGTGCCCCCTGGCAGGTGAAGAAAAATCTTCAGTAAAGCCGCACCTCATTATAAGCCGCATGGTTCAAAGCGTGGGAAAAAAGTAGCGGCTTATAGTCCGGAAAATATGGTAACTACTTACTAACAGTCAATATGGATTTAGAGCAAATTTTTCAACATCACTGGCACAAATTGAAACACTAGAGGACATTACAAATTCTATAGAATAGAAAAAGTGTGCAGTAGTAATATTCATAGATCTAAAAGAAGCATTCTACACAATCAGTCATAACATCCTACTAAATAAATTGGAACGCTATGGAATCAGAGGGTGGCACTAGACTGGATCAGGAATTATTTGACCGACAGGAAGCAGTTTGTGAAATTGGATAGAATCAACTCATCATGCTTGGACATTGTTTGTGGTGTTCCCCAGGGATCAGTGCTTGGTCTAAAACTGTACATTCTTTATATTAATGATGTCTGCACGGTGTCACAATCATTAAAGTTAATTTTATTTGCTGATGATACAAATATGTTCTGTTCTGGGGATAATTTCAAGGACCTCTTACATACGCTCAACTCAGAACTACAAAAAAATGGTTTGAATGGAATAAATTGTCACTAAACTTGAATAATACTAAAATCATGATCTTGTTCTTGTAAATCAAAATTTACAAGAACAAATTCAAATTGATGGTGTGAGAATTGAAAGAGTGAAGGAGATCAGATTTCTTGGTATAATAATAGACAATAGAATCAGCTGGAAAACTCACATTAAACATATAAACAATAAAATCTCAAGAAGCATCTCAATATTAAAAAAAGTCAAACAAAAGTCACTCCACATTCTATACTGTTCACTTATTTCCACATATTCAAATTACTGTACAGAGGTTTGGGGAAACACCTATAAATGTGCATTATCGTCATTATCTGTGTTACAAAAAAGGGCTCTAAGGAACATTCATAACACTGGTTACGGAGATCGAACAAACTCATTATTTTTACAATCACAAATCTTAAAATTTCCAGATATAGTTCAATTTCAAACAGCACAGCTAATGTATAAACAATAAACTACTCCCAGACAACATATTAGAACCGTTTCTTACAAGGGAGGGGAGGTATCAGTTAAGAGGGGAGTTAAAATTCAGAAATGGTTGAGTCCGAACAATATTTAAAACTTTTAGTGTGTCTGTGTGTGGTGTGAAACTGTGGAACAGAAT